AATGGATGGATGTTTTTTTTAATATATAAAATTAAGTAAAGTGCTTTTAACTTATATTAAATGTTGCTCTTTTATTTTGTTATACCATGTTAAGTTCCTGTAACACATCCTAGTCCACTGCACATTAAAACCAAAAATTTAATTGATCCTGTTTCATTTCTTTGAGGCAAAATGTGAAGCATTTTTCAAGTAAAGACAATTCTGCTGTGTGCAGCTTCATTTGCTTTGTCACGATCAGATGTTATGCTGCCGTTTTTAAGATCTTTCCTCGCTACCTTTAATGCATTTTACTGTAACTGCTAAAACCACAGCATCCCCTTAAATCGGGGATTCCTCATTTCACAAAAATACACCAAATGGGCAGTTAGGGAGAAGTTTGTCTTCTGCAAATGCTACATTGGCTGCTTTAAAGGAAAAAGTGGTTTCTTTGGAGAACGTGTTCCTGTCTGAATCCTTGTAAATGAGTCAGTGTGCTGTTTTTCTCCATGGCAAAACACCAGTGCTGACTCAGCAGACTTCCAGAGTTCTCATTTCTATAAGAGTCCACTGTAACAAAGTCGTTTGTGCAGGCACTACCAACAGTTTGTACCCCTCAAATCCCACACGGATCCAGGGTCATTTCTGCCACCCATCATCTGGAGATGAGGTTGGATTTGGATTTTTCTGAAACTTGAAAACATGAATTATTATTGTGATGTGTTTCCTCCTGATACAAAGTAAATGCATTCAGTTTCAGTCTTTTATCAGTTTAACTTTTCTTTTGTCTGTTTTTGTTTGCCTTTTCACTCTCTCTGGGCTCTCCACCTGTGCTCGAATGCACCGGTAGTGATAACATTAAACAAAGTGCTGTGCAGGTAGAAATGTGTGTGTGTGTGTGTGTTGGTGCGCACTTTGGCTGTCCTTTGTCCTAAATCATCTATCATCTATCATAAAGAACACACCTTCTTTGATAGGCCCCTGATAGCACGCGCACACACACACACCTACACACAGAGTTATGGCTTATGTTCAGTCCTTTTCCCGAGGGTGTGTCTCCTGTTTGAGTGTCTGCCTGTTCATCCATGTCCTAATCTGTAAAGTACTCATGTACTCACATACGCTGCAGTGGCCATATTCCTGAGCTCGCACTTTAAGCACAATGGACTTAAGAAGTGCATACAGCATACAGCTGTGTGAGTGCAGACAAGGGAAACCATACTATATGCATGTTTGTGAAATCAAAGTGAGGGCCATGAGAGAAAGTATGATCGGCTTCTGATAACAAACACTAGCAGGTACAAAGACGCTGAAACACAGGGCGCGGCAGCTGCCAGGAATGTGCTCAAGGCATCTCACCACACCCAACCTCTCTCTCGCTTTCTCGCTCCCTCTCTCTTTTTTACACACTCTCTCTTCCTTGCTCAACCCCTCTCTTCCCCCCTGATCTCCTCCCTCTCTTGAGTCACCCAGCCGGCTTGGAACAGGTATGCAGGTCCAGACAGGAGCTAAATCCAAGCTTGCACCTTAGCAGGGCTGGCTTAGTAGGCTGTGTCAGGTATATTTGAATTCAAAAAACCTTTATCGACAAGGCTTCTTCAATATTGACAGTAGAATTAGAAGATGAAGAAATCCTGTGACCTTTTTTTT